TCAGTCTCTATGCTCTTCGGCTCCTGCTATTGTCATCTGCCTGGCAAACCCGTTTGTCTGTTTAAGACTCACCTCCTCCCCTGTGAAAAAACGGAAAGCAGCGCTATCCCCTAGGAGCTGGCCTGGCGCCGTGAGCTGCGATCCAGCGTTGTTAGATGCTGCCTGGTGTTCAGAGGCCATGAATTCCTCCTGTTGGACATAAACAGTCTCGCCAAACAGCTAGCACAAAAGTTGCACAGTGATGAAGTGAAGACAAAACAGGGCTGCTTCATAATTTTGTCTAAACAGCCAAAAACAAGGCCACCCGGCCTGCAGAGCAGCAAACGTTCCTCTCTCCCACGTGACTGCCTGTGGCTTCTTTGTGAATTACAGCATGTCAGTCTAGTCACACCTCCTTCTAGAAAACTCTGATTGAGCTAGCCAATCCCAGACCTGTCCCCACCTCCTGTCAGCATCCAATCCAGAGCAAACCCCTGCTTCCCGGAACTCTCCCCAAAATTATCCAACCAAAGCCCAAACCCTGTAAGTTCTAACATCCCTTACTGAGAGGCCCGGAAGCTCCCCATGATGGGAGTTCTCCCTCATTAAAATGAGTATTTAAACTCATTTAACTGTGTGTTTCTAATGGTCTTTGCTGGCAGACGTTGACAACTGAAGCAGTAGGAAAGGATGGTTGAGTTTCCTGGAGGGAAGTTAAAGGTGTGCCAATCGGAAGGCATCTATTTTCTATGTTAAGCAATACCCATAATATCATCCTGTTATCTTGAAGATGAAACAGGGTGGAGTAAATCAGAAGCTTTCGGAAAGTGGAAAATGTCTGATTTAAGTATTGCGGAGAGTGAGAAAGTGAGTTGTTGACCAGACACTCATACTAGAAAGGATGCAGGTGAAGCTGGTTGCCGTGAATGCACAGCGGCACCTGGCCGTGCCAGGCTGTGTGATTTCCCCCACCAGTATTCAAGGTGAAAGTGGATAATCTGGTCCCACCATGGTATGGGGTTTACTAGGATGAAGGGCAAGGGAGACAAAGGCATTGCCAAGAGAATTACAGAAGGATGGACTATGAACTCTAAGCTCAACTGAGAGGGAACAGCCTCAAGGAAGTCTCTCCAGGCTAGAGAAAACCATGGAGGTCCCGAGGAGAAAGACGCTGACGGTGGATGAGAAATAACTGACCAAGCTGGCTGGAAAGAAGAGACTGGGGTTGGAGGGTGGGGCTGTGAGGCGGTACAGCACCTGGATGGAAATGCAGGGTATCGTGGCGGGAATGGTGACAGGTGGACAAGAAGAGGTAACCACCGCAGACAAGGTGTTAAAGGAAAGAGCGCCCTGTGTGTAGCTGGGTCCTCCACACGCACACCAAGGATGATGGCAAGAACTGAGGCAGGGAGGAAGGCCTGTGGGCCAGGTGCCAAGTCTTCAACAAGGTAGGTGAATAACCAGCAGCAGGCAGAAAACAATCACGTGGAGGAGGAGAGGGTGCAGGGGACATGGGTCTCGAAGAAGTGTGGTGAGGGAACAAAGAGCAGTGGGGACACAAATTTTGAACCTCCCGATCCTGAGACATCCAGGCTATGAGAAAACCGAGCTGTGACTTGAGAGGGCTTTAAGTGAAGGATCTCCCCAAGCTCAAGGCAAAGAGAGGGAGGGAACAGCTGAGGGGAGGCTGAGCAAATGGAGGCAGCTGGTGACTGTGGAGGGGTGGCTTCAGAGGACACAGCGGGGGTGGCTGGAGGGGCTGGGGGGGCAAGGATAAACAAGAGAGTGGGTAACTGATGTGGGGCACTGAATGGTGCGGAAAATAAGAAGGGGAATGGGGAGGGGGGAGAGTCAGCTATCGTAAGCACTGTATAGATAACTGTTAAGTCAAATGGAATTACCAGGCATAAACCTAGTATATCCAATCAGAAGAGTTCTAAGTCAAGAGTTATCGCTGTATTCACTTATAACTGGGATAAAAAGAAAGACACAAAGGAACTTATTCACAAAACAGACACAGACTCACAGACATAGGAAACAAACTTATGGTCACCAGGAGGGGAAAGGGGGTGGGAAGGGATAAACTGGGAGTTCAGGATTTGCAGATACTACTAGATATAAAAGAGATAAACAAGTTTCTACTGTACAGCACAGGGAACTCTATTCAATATCTTGCAGTAACCTATAATGAAAAAGAATATAAAAAGGAATATATGTATGTATGTGTATGACTGAGACATTATGCTGTACCCCCAGAAATTGACACAACACTGTACACTCACTATACTTCAATAAAAAAATAGAATATTAAAAAAATTTTTTAAAGAGTTATCACTGTAGGAGTGACAGCCAGGATGATGACAATGATAATGGTTTGGTGACAATGGGAGTGGTAATGGTGTCAGCAACTATCAATTTTGAACACTTACTATGTGCCAAGCCCTGATACAAGCATTCCACATTTAATCCTCACAACAACCCGTGGAGAGAGAGAACGTTCTTACCTGTGGAAGGGCTCTATCCTAAAGGAGGGAGCAAATTAAAACAGAAATAATAGAATTGTAGGAGCCCTGGAAAGCAAAAATGGCTTTTTAAACACTATTTTAGGGATCTTACAGCTGTAATTCAGTGTGGCAGGAGCTAGCCTGACCCATGCCTACTACATATTCAGTAACTTCAAAATAAATAATACTCAGACTGGAGGGAAATCAAAACCAGCAATAATTTATTGAAGGCTTCACCTGGTGCCAGATCCTGTGTTAACCTTTGTATCGACCATCTCCTTTAATCCTCACATCCAAAGGGTCAGTTACCATTATTACCCCCATTTGAAAGATGAGGAAACTGAGGCAGAAAGAGCAGTATGTCCACAACTCATGCAAAGAAGCCCTATCTCACAACATGACTTTTTTTTTTGACAAGACTGAAGGGCTGTATTTTACAGTGAAGACAGAGATCACAGTATCACAGAACCTGAAAGTCACTGAGTCCAGCAAAGTGTCTTCAGACATTAACTTATGGATTCTCACAATCTCTTTGCATGTTTTTTTCAGCTGAGAGAAAACCCGGTGCAAGAAAACCTTTGACGCAATGCATCCAGGTGGCAAACATATGTGGTTTTCATGACCCGCGACTTATCCCAGAAGATTCTGATTCAGTGGGTCTACAGGAGGCCCTGAGTACCTTTTAAAAGCCCCCAGGCTATGCTGATGGACCATTCGGTCTGGAAGCTACTGCCTTAGATTCTCTGCAGTTCCAAATCCAACCCAACATTTAGATGTCTGTAGACACAGAGGGCATTGGAAACTGAGGCAAAGAAGAGCTGACATGACAAAAACTAGCAGAGGGAGTCAAGGAAAGGCACGCTCTAGTTATACTATTTCTCTGTATTTTTGTGTCTCAGCTATTTCACAGCTAATTTGCTTTTTTAAAGTAAGCAAGGTGGCCAAAAATGTTCCCAACAAATATTAAGCCCATACTACCAAAAAATATTAAATAACCCTGACCCTAACATGCTACTGCAAAGTGTTTTATTTCCCCAGGTAATTCTGACCACACTTCCAATTCTCTTAGCAAATGACAAAAATTGTTTCTGATTCAACAGTGCTACAGATGTGGTTAATAGCAACAGAAAACAGAAGAAGTAACGTCAGGTCCAATTCATTTAAGTTCACAAATTTCACCAGGGATTGCCTCCAAGCCTTTAATACTTAAGTATGTATTTATCTATTTATTTAATCAACCACCACTAACACCTACTACATGCCAGACACTGCTCCAAGTGCTCTCCTAATATTGGTTATATTTTCATCTTTACAAGTGCCCATGAAGCAGGCGTTATCATCATCCCCATTTTACAGATCAGGAAACAGAGAGGCAGAGTGGTTTAGTAACTTGCCCAAGTTTACAGAGCTTGCAAACAGCAGAGCTGGGACCAGCTTGATAGTCTGGCTCCAGAGTTCATGTTCTGAAACACACTATGCTTTGTTTCCAAGAACCGATAAAAAGTACAAGGCTTAACCTAAACCTTTGTTTTCCCTACCCTACAGTTCCTACGTGGCCCCAGCTTCCAGGGCATTCATTCAGTTCCTCTAACAGACCACACTCCTTCCCTGCTCTGCCTGAACACTCCAACATCCCTATTTACTTTTTTTTTTAAGCCTTCTGTTCTCAGCTCAAACATTATTGCCTAAATTACAAACTCTAATGGTGCCCCCTATTTCTCAGCACTCAACACAAAATCATAATTATGTTATTTCATGGGTAATTATTTCCTCCCTGTCTGCCTTTTCCCACTAGGCAGTGAGTTTACCATGTTAGTCTTGTCCATCACGTGTTCCCAGTTACTGAGTACCCACCAACCAGCCAAAAGGAAGGGACTGTCACAAAGTAAGATCTCGATCATTTTTGCTGAATGAATGAGTGGAGAACACTTAAGCCTCATGCTTTCTTTTTCAGGCTTTCAGGTACCTATGCTCACACCCCCTAAAAGTGTAGACTCCTGGAGCACACAGGCAAGAGCTCTGCAAAGTACTGATTCTGCACGCAAGTACTACGAGGTCCTGGACAGGTCACTTCCCCCCTTAACTTGAGTTTCAGGCGCACAGTGGAGATCATGACTAGTCCCAGTGGAATGTAACCTATAAAAGGAGAACCTGCGCTTCTCCTCATAACCCATCAAGACTGCAGTTACTACTTGCTTCATGTCTGTTTCCAGCAAGACAGGCTCCAAGGAGGCCAAGTTCACGTCTGCCTGATTCCAGTCACGGTATCCCGTATCCCAGTCACGGTATCCCGTATCCCAGTCACGCTATTCCCAGGCTCGTACCGTGCCTGGCACACAAGAAGTTTAGATAATTGTGAGTTAAGTAAATGAACCCCTGCTCTATACAATTCACAGGTGTCGCACGAGTTGACGGGTGCCTTCTGGCGTAAACCCTATTCCTTAAACACAGGCCCGCCTCCCACCTAGGCCCCAGCCCCCGGGGACGGCGGCCCCTAACCCCGCGCCGGGCAGGCACCTCTTGCATATAGAAGCATCTTCACAAGTACCGCGCACACCCTCGTCGTCCGTGTCGTTAGAGGGGGAAGAACAGGAGGTGAAAGACGGCCTCCTCAGGCTAGTGGCCATGGGCGTGGAGGCTTCGGGGTGCTGCGCCCACCGGGTACATGGAAGCGGGGTCGACAGACGCCGGGACAAGGAGCGAGCCCCGGAGAAGGTAGAAGAGAGGGGCTGGACTCAACCCGGCTCAGCTGGCGCGGCTCAGTGACGCCGCCCACGGCGGCTGCCCCAGCAACCTCCGCGCTTATTGGCGCCCCTGTCGAGACGCTCGTTGCACAGTTTCCCCGCCCCCTCAGCCCGCGGAGGTGCCCATTGGAGAATTCTTTTGGCCCCGCCCACACAACCCGGAAGGCCTCAGAGAGGGAAGGTCAATTGAAATTGACGCAAGAGAGCACTGCAATGCTTTCCGGGAATTGTAGTCTTAGGTGTTTTGGGAGGCCCGCCGGTTTCTAAACGGCTGGTCAAGAAATTGTATAACTGTAATTAACTCAGGGCAGAAGAGCTGGCAGGAGTCTCAGCACTGGAGCGAAGGGCAGAGAAGCCGGAGGAAACAAGTATCAGTGTTTCAGTTAGAACTCAGTCTCATTCAACTATTTTTTAAAACAGAATTTTGTTAGTTGTTTTCTGTTTGTTTTGGGGGGCGGTAATTAGGTTTACTTATTTATTTTTAGAGGAGGTACTGGGGATTGAACTCAGGACCTCGTGCATGCTAAGCATGCTCTTCTACCACTTGAGCTATACCCTCCCTCCTCATTCAGCTACTGAACAAATATATATTGAGTGCCGTCTCTGTGGCAGGAACTGGGTGAAGAACTTGGCACACAGGATCGCTTTTGAAACGCTGTGAAAGAAGGTATGTGTGGAAAGCTAATACAATGGAGAACTATGTAGCAGTGAAAATTAATGAACTAGAGTAACCAGTTACAAATATCAATGGCTGAATTTCGAACACATAGTATTCAGTGAAAGAAGAAATACAACATTTTTGTAAAGTTCAACCCAAGCAAAACTAATATTATTTAGGAAAACACACATATATGGTAAACAAATATACAGGAAAGTAATGAAATGAGGGGGAAAATAGGAATCAGGACATTTGTGACCTTTAGGGGGTGGGGAGGGTAGGAGACTAGGGGGAAAGGGAATGGGGAAGGAGCACATGGACTCCTCAATATTTCTCAAGCTGGGGTAGGTTCACGTGTTTGTTTCATTATTATGTCAATTCAAGATGTTCATTACATATATTTTGTACTAGACTTACTGTAAGACATTTTCTAAGTAGATTATTTAAAGTGTGTTTGCATATTCCATTTCATTATCAGTCAGGATCAAGGAATGGATATACTCAAACTTTAAGAACTTTGGATCATACACAAACATAAGCAAGATGAACAAACAGCAACAAAAATCCAGTACACATATCTTGGGGCAAGATCAGGTATCAAATGCTTGCTTAGTATCCAGTGAAGGAACAAGAGCTCATTGATACCCAAAGTAGAAATGAAAGTGGGGAAGGCTGAAGTTAGGGAGTTTTGCCAGGGGGAGAGGTGATGTGGTGAAATACACCGCTTTCTCTGAATGGTCTTCTGCCAAGAGGGTAATGCAAACCAGCTTGGCAGTGTACACATTCCAAGAGTGTTAATGGGTAATGTGTCAACAGCAAGCAGTATAAAGTGTCAATCCCATAGGTCTGGATGGTGAAGCTGAGGGTGACTGGGAAAAGGTGGAGGCAGATGTGTTGATACACTTGTTATTTCATGAGCAAAGACTACTTCTAATTTTTACTGAGCCTTTGATTCAGAGAAGCTGATGATTCAGAGAACTTTGGTCAGTTTTTCACCCCAAAAGCTTCCATCAGGCAAGGCCAGCTCATTCCTTTTAAGCTCCATTAAGCAAGGGGCTGGAACTTTATGATACAGGAGTGGAATCTGGAAATGGAAAGCTTACCCATCTCAAGCCACATGATGTCTCAAAATATGAGACTACTTTGGGGTCCCAATCAGACAAAGGTCACTGTCAACTAAATCTGCATCCTCTGATAAAGTCAAGAGACGAGAAACTAGAGTTTAAATTCCCTGTGAACATTAACTAGTATTGGAAACAAAAAGCTGAGCATTAACCATGAAATTTCTCTGTGAGTGGCCAGAGTGGACATTTGCTGCTTTGACTAGGCATTATTTCTTCTATAACAACAGCCAGAGTTTATTATGGAGAACTAAACTCTCCTTTTAGTCCATGTGGATCAGGTAAGGTTCCATGCCTCACATTGAGGTGTGGAACCTTACTAAGGCCTGGTCAATCACACCCAAAATCACTCTAGTTACACTTCAGTAGTGTAGCAGGGGTGGGGGAGGGGAGGGGGGAGAGAGGGGCAGTGGATTGGTGACCAGATGGGTCAAATCAGGAGTTGAATGGGAGTTGCTAAGTCTAGAAGAGCTCTCTTTTCTGGCAGACTTGAACCTGAGAGGATGTATCTTTGGAGTCCCTGAGATGCACCTTGCTACCTCAGATAGCCTGAGAATGATGCTAATGAGAAGGCTAATGGAGTCTGGAGCACTGGATGCTCAGCTAGGGGGGTGACCTGAGTTTGTAGTGTGGGGGCTGATGGGAAAATCATCGGAGCCTATGGAGCTGATCAATCAGAAGCAGCTGAATTCAGAAAGATGCAATAAACCGTTACCCAGCACTTGCAGCTTTCATCCTGCTCTGAGTGCACATTATCCCTCCCCTCCCATCACCACCTGGCAGTACCCCCAGTGAAATCATTATCTTCCTTCTTTGCTGGTCCTGCTTTCCAAGTTTTTGGCGTGTAGTTTCCTCACAAGCTTTCCATTGCTATAACCTGTTGAAAAGGCTGTCTTTCCTCCTTTGAATTGCTTCTGCACCTTTGTCAAAAATCAACTGAGCATATTTGTGTGGGACTGTTTCTGGGTCTCTCTGTTCATTGATCTACGCGTCTAGCCCTCGGCCAAGACTATACAGTCTTGGTGGCTGCAGCTATATGATAAGTTTTGAAGCTGGTAGACGGTTGCTCCCACATAGTACTTCCTTCAAAATTGTTTTAGCTATTCTCGTTCCTTTATCTTTCCATACAAGTTTTAGAACAATCTTGTCTATACCTACAAAAAAATTCCTACTGGGTTTGATAGGAAGTGCATTAAATCTATCCATTTGGGGAAAATTGACGTCTTTCCCATACTTAGTCTTCCCATTCATGACCATGATCTTTTTCTCCACTTATTTGGATCATTGATTTCTTTTATCAGTTAGTTGTCAGTATACTAGTTGTCAGTATAGTTGTCAGTATACTAGTCCTGGGCATGTTTTGTTAGATTTACACATGTGTTTTATTTTTATCTGCAATTATACACATAGTTTAAATTTTGGTGTCCACATGGTCACTGCTAGTATCTAGAAATACACTTGATTTTTGTGTTTATTTTGTATCCTGTGACTTTATTGAACTCAATGATTAGTTCTAGGAAGAATTACTTTTTAATAGTTTCTTGTGGTATGAGGCTTGAAGTTAAGATTCAATATTGAGAGCTGTCTTGGCATCTGGAAAAACTGAGAGGACCTCAAATGGCCCAAGTACAGTTCCCCACTCCCTCCTCTCCCATACACAAGGTCCCCTAGTAATATGACCCTTCTCACAGGGACCAGACCCAGTGCCTGCTTATTTCCGAGCAGCAGGCTTCAGTTCCCTATCAGCCCATGGAATTATTCACACAAGCCCATCACACCCCCCTGCCAAAACCAGGGCTCACCCCCACCCTCTTGTTACTACAAAATCTGCCTCCTAAGCCCCTACGTGTTCACTCTGCTCTGAAGTGCCACCCTCCGTGTGGCCCTGCGTGCAGTGTGGTGTCCTCCCCCGGTCTGTGAGACTAGTAAACTGCTGTTCGTCCCTTCTGTGTGGTGTCGAGTGTTGTGTGTTCAGTCGGCCCTGTTAGTCTAGGCTAGGAATCTCTACTCACCAGTGGATTAAAGAAGAAGTGAGTGAAAAAAACTGGCATCATGAACAGGATGGTCTAACCTCACCTGAGGATACCGGGCCAGCCTTAACTACCCGCTCCTTTGCTAGGTAACTGGTTCGTAAGGCAGCGGTTACTGCCTGGGATGTAAGTGCCACTTGCTGACCCGCCTGGGCTTTAGCTCACGTTCTGTTGTCTCCAACGGATGTTGCCATCTCTTCCCATCCTCACGTCTCATTCTCGCCAACTAGGCGAAAACTATTGTACATTGACTATATCCCGGAGTTAACATACCATCAGCTGTGGCTTGTGCCTGGCAGGTGGACTCCGAGGCTCCTACCTGAGACCAGGGACAACACGATGCCCTACTAGTGGGCGCTTGACTTCCACCTGCTGGGTGTGGGACTAGCACTTTGGTCACTGTGTCCAGCCTGATGGCCGCCACTGGGGCAGCCACAGAGACTGTGTTTGGGAAAGTGCCCCTGGCCCAGCACCGTCCTGGGGATGACTCCTTGTGCTGTGTGTCCTGTGCTGCTGCTTCCCTTGCTGCTGTCGTGAGCTCTCCTGATCCCTAAAGGTACTGAGGTGCACATCCATGACAGCCCATGGCCAAGGAACTGATGAAACAAAAAGTTGGGGGAAGGGGCCTTGATATTCAACTGCTCTCTCAGTGCAAAACCCCTAATCAATACATGTGGGCTTTGCTTCCTGTAGGTGCTTACCAGCACACCAGAGGACTGATTTGGTCATCAGGGGCTTGGGGGCCTGACCCAGGCCATGGACAAAGTCACCTTACCAGCATCGTCTACTTCAACCTCCTCTCGGCCAGTTGGCCTTCTCTCCAAAAGGGCACAATACTCTTCTACCTAGTTACCCACAGGACACCTAGCAGCTCTGCTGTCACAGACGATCTTTGCAGACAGGATCGTCGCTGCATCCGCCCTTCTCCAGGATGACAGGTATGACATCACCTTGATGACATCCTCCTTTGAGGTCATTTATTTGAAACATTTGTAAAGGACATACAATCGTATCCGACATCTTTGAGTCCTTCTGGGGCTCTGCAGGCAACGTGCTCCTTGTTTACAGATTGTGTTTAAGCCCATTTATGCCGTCACTTTGAAATTAGCCCACCTTGAGTGGGAGCCCGACCGACAAAGGACTCTAGAGTCTGTTTAAATTAAAATCAACCGGCGCTCCTCTCAGTGAAGAGGATTTAGCAACATCCTCCTGTGCTTCCTGGCGTCTCTGGACCACTTATGATGTCCGTAAGTTGCCC